AGTCTTCCTAACAGCAAGTTGCCATTTTGACACCCTAAGGGCTGATATCAAGATACTCATTATGCAAAATAATTCCAGTACCATGAGAGGAAAGATGTAACACTGCATACACCTCAGCTAGGTAGAGAATAAGCACACCCAATAAAAGTGTATCAATCTAGAATTTCATTTATTTCCTTATTTGCATTTTTGTTCCTAAATAATTGATTAATAGATTTTGAAATTTCCGTATATATTTTGTAAGGTGTGGCGATAATAGACTCATTGACTTCTCAACCCTCCATGCTGCTTCCAATAAGATAAATATTGAATATAAATATGGAATATACATATGTATTGAAGTATTTAATGATTTGCATTCCTACGGTGTGAAAAGTAAAGTTTCCACCCCAGAATTATGATCACAACAGCTCACATCGCAGAACTACCAGTATATAATCTTACATACACGTTGAAAAACCATGCAATGAGAAAAGAATAACATTCCTATCTACCGGTGGTGCAGCAAAACAGCATTTAAGAACATGACGCATAATGCTGTAGGAAAAAGAAAACAATTATAGAGATGACCAGAGAGGGCATTTATTTGCATTTCGACAGTAAATTAATACAAAAATTTAGTCTACTCCTCGGGAGAAGCTCTTAACTCTCGACTTCTTTTCCTTCATGAGTGGTTCTGTAGAGTATGTAAGTAAGAGTGAAGTCGTAGTCTTCCGCGACCAGAGTCATGTGGGTGATCTGGGCTGGGCTGGGCTATGGTGGGCATACCAGGTATGCTCACCATACCTGGTATGCCCAACTCGCATACCAGCTCTGAGGAAGACCACGACAGGATGGTCGAAACGTCGGCAACTCAGCCTTCGACGCGGCGTCACTCGGACTGCCCAGATCACCCATATGTAAGTAAGAGTTTGTAAGTAAAGGGTAGAATAGGACAAGGAAGAGGAAGGAAAGATCACGCGCGGTCCGTGGTCTATTTATTAGGGTATTGCTCTGGTATTTGCCAGATGTTAAACGGAAAAAACACGGAAATATCCGATCAGATCTTCCGGTCGCTAGAATTATCCTCCAGACAGCAGTTGAATTCGACCCAGCTATCTAGCTAGTGTCGAAAATTCAGCGACCGTCGGGACTCAAACCAAAGGACCTCCTGATGGGAAGAACTAGCAAGTTTGGCATTCGCCATCATCATCCAGTGAGAATCTCTGGTTTCCTACACGACCCATAATCCCATCATTACATTGTTTGGCTCCCTGAATTGTAATTCACCGTGTTCGTTACATTCTAGGGAAGCCGTTGTTTTAGCCATGTGTCATATCGTTTGATCTACCGATGATCAGAAAATGTTCGTAGAATTATCATTATCAAACAAGAACACTAACAAAAACTATACTTTTTGCGAGAGGGGCCATGAAAAAAGTCATGGTTTACTTTTGCGTAGTCCCAAAAGAGACTATGGAAATTCGGAAAAAAATCTTTGCTCGTGAGCGAGAAATAGGATGGAATAAAGATGCCCGACCTATGATGACGTGCGCAGTTGTTAAGAAGTTAACGAGGAGTCGAAGAAGTTGTCTTATTCGCTGTTGCAATTACCCCAATCGCTAGATTAATTGAAAATGATCGCTTGCACGTCCACGCCCGCTAAACGACATGTGCTCGCAGTAGTATTTGTCGGAACAAAAAGAACATCCAGCAACAGTCGTTAAGAGAACTCGGACGAGTCGCCTACAAGCGGCGTCGGAGCGTGCTTCTCCCCTTTCGCAACACAGTGCGAAAACGCATTTGGCCAGACGCGCCAAAGAATGTATACAATAATTCCGTTGAGACGTTTCTTATCGGCGCCGATCGGCCGCCGCGTCTTCAGGTGTTTGAAACACTGGTTCAACTACTATGAGGTTTACAGATCGTTTAACTATGCTGTCAAGAGAGGCTTCATTCTTTGGTGGTATATTCTTTTAAACATTTCGTACCTTGTAAAATATTAGGATAAATGCGTCAGTTTGAAGTGTGTACATTCCAAGAAGTAATTATAGTTTATCATGTATAAAACAAGATGGCTGTATCGATCGTTTTTTGTCATTTAATACAAAAAGATGGTTCTTTCCTAAATGTCCATATATACGTACGATTTACAAATACGAATTGTACTCCTGAGTAGCAACGTTTAGTATTCGAAGCAAGTGGTCATGCCATGATGTTTTGAAAAATATTGCGGTACTGCTAGAGGTAGATCATGATGTAATTGTCTCCTCGCGTTTATTCATTCTCTTTTCTGATCTGACCTCGTCGCAAACATCCGCTCTTCCTTTCGTTGCGCGAACCTCTTCTCTCATCTCGTGACGTCAGATTCCTTCCTCGCAAGCAACACTTGCAACACGCATGTTGTGTGGGTTGCATAGCTGGAAGTTCTGGAGGCGTATTGCTGCATCGATCACAGAACTAACGGTAGTTCCGTCCTTTGACCTTGCGGAATCGCGTGCAATCTGAGACATCAATAGACGCGGTTAGAGCTAGGACAATTACAGTGGGAAGGGTTCGGAGAAGAAGTTTATTTCGTTCTGGATTTGCTAAAAACTTAAGGAAAGCACGCTATTGTGCTTGGTACTAGTCGCCCGCTGTTTGTCAACCTTGATTTGACCTTCGTCTGCTGGCTGGCTCGTTAGACGCATAACGCCAGGAATGCATACAATTTCAATTATGAAGAAGGAAATGCGTACTTAAATGAATCTTATAGGATATTTCTTTGCGATCTTTTTCCTAGATATTTTCTTTCTGCAGTTTTTCATAGCAATCGATCTGCGGATAAGACTTGGCACGATCACTCTCTTGGTCACAGGGAGAAAAACGTAGCATCTATTTTATGGAAAATAACTTTCCGGAATTCGTATCTTTTACGTGTGTGTTATACTATTTCAATTGATAATGTTCAGTTGAATTGATATCTGAAAGGGAAAAGGGAATTCTGTACTGAAGGGCGTTGCAATGTTATGCTTGAAGGCGACATGGTTGCACATTGAGAAATTAGAGAAAAAAGGTTTTTTTGCAATTACCTTAATGCAATTGCTAGTGCATAAAATTCATTTGTTACTTTTACTTTTAGAGTGTGCTCGAGTTTTAATTGTTTAGTATAATAATTATTATAATCAATTATAATAAAATTGATTACAAATATATTAATTATAATTAAATAGCTAATTCAATTAATGTATTCCAATGTTAAACAAATTTGTATTAAAATATATAATTATTTCTTCATTGGTGCATTGTGAAATAATGAGATTAAAACAAATAATAATCGGAACAGTTTGTAAAAGTAGCGTTCTTCGTTTTAATACAATTTCTTGAGCAATGGTAGTACACTTACAATTTCTGAAATGTTGATTTATTGTATTCCGAAAACAACTTTGATGTAAATTACACCGCAATGTGAGAATAATGTGAGCGCATTCTCTTCACGAGTTCTAATGTCCCAACTGCGATTGTACAAATTTGAACTGTCAGTGATCTTACTCACTTTTCATCTCGTGAACAAAGTTTCTTAGAAAACCAATTTTTGTGGCAATGACTTGCATTATTCTCAGGACACCGGGAAATATTTATTTTAGAGGTTCTTTGTACACCATAGTCAAACTTCTCGATCAATCACCAATCTCGTCGTGAGTAGATACAATATTGTCAGTCATTCTTATTTGGTCATAAAGTTTTTAAAAGACTGCAGAACTCGGCACAACATGTGTGCGATAGCGCCGAGTATATTCCCCGCTTTCGAGAAAAGCATTACAGTGACATTCGCCAAAAATACAACCAATATAACAATATTCATTAATGGTGAAGCAGTGCGGCATTGCTCCAGTATGTATGTCTCTCAACGCACTCCAAAAATAGTCTGCGAGAAACACTTTGAACAAATACATTTTGTGAAAGTTTTCCATTCGTCTGTGATCGAAAAGAAACGCAAACTAATTTCAGTCCAATTCAGTGACTGAAAAGTGTTTCTCATTTTTCAAGATGCAGTTGCGAGTAAAATATGGGGAATGCACACATAATGGTACGAATGTCATGGACTTTATGTGACCTGTCCACACTAAGAGATTTTACGAACGTATAGTGACACCTGTATATCCGGATATGTCTGTTCGTATTCGAGAAAGTAAAACATCGATGTTAAAAAACAATGATATTTTTTGGGGGGGGATGTCAAATGCGCGAGGAAAGTTTTTTTTCCGCAGCCGCATCTTGCTAGGAGAGTGCTAGCAAATAAATTATATTGCTAGCGGGAGCTGCAGCTTGTAACAAAAGAAAACGTAAATTGCGAATTCACCTAAAGTATAATAGATACTGGAGATGTTGTCCTCTTCACTTGGAGGGGATGCCCTGATCACTGTAATCCCTCTAAACCGGATGTCCTAGGTTCGAGTCCCGACAGTCCCCGGATATGTGAGCTAGGTCGCGTTCAGTCGCTTTCTGGAGGAGATTTCTAGCGACTGGCTTCTCTAATCGGTGGTTTTCCGTGGTTTCCCCAATCGACACCAGGCGAATGCCAGAGCAGTACCGTAACAAACGGACCACAAATTGCGCTCGATCTTTCGTGCCTCCTCCTTGTCCTATCCTCACCCCTTACACACACTTACACTAACATGCACTACCACACATGCCGGGAGACCTGTCAGGAGTTTAGAGCTTTTCCTGGCTGAGGCGGTGCATCGCTGCTGGATGATACCTGGTTAAGGAAAACCCCACTAGCCGACGATAGGTCGGCGCCGGATCCCGCCATAGTGCGGGTAGAGCCAACCTTCCGAGCAAAAACATGTACTACACTTACGGTTACTGCTCTACATTTTCACTACACTTCCCCAGTAGTTGATGCGCCCGGAATCACTAACAATCACTCAACCCCTTCACTTGTTTCCGAGTGATCTGGGTGTTAGCAACATAAATACCTTTTATAGGAAGTCCTGATTCGATTCTTTCTTATTGACATTGGCTGTCGGATGTTGCAGTGGACGTTTGTGTGCGAGCGGCGCTGGATGGGCGCCGTGGCGCAGAGCGCCTTCATGTTCGGCGTCTTCACTGGTGCCGTCGTCCTGGGCAGCCTCGCCGACAAGTAAGGCCGCGGCACCCCCCCAGGGTTGCCACATTCCAACACCCCACTACGGTCCAATGACTGCTAGGAGAGTTGCACTGAGCCTTATTAAGTACCTTATTAAAGACCAAAAAATGTGTAAATGAAACATGACGCGAAATGAGGATTGCGTCTGGTCATGAGATGGATACATTTGAATTATAGGAAAAATCTGGGAAAGTATGTTTTAAAAGAAAAAGGAAATTTTTATTTATATTCGATTTATAAAATATTTTTTTAAATTAAATATATTCACATTAGTAAAATTATTTAAGATGAATAATAAAATAAAGTGTTCAAGAAAGGGTTTTAATTCATTATTATTCAAAACGATATATCAAATATTATTGCTCACGAATTTTAAATTTTCACTCGTAGCTTTTAATACAGACGTGCAAGGTCTAGGGATTCTCGTGGAGGCCCAAAAATTATGGATTGCTTAGCGATTTTTAAACTGTTATTAAATTATGGATATTTACCACATCGTCCGTCACAGTTCGAAACAATTTCCATGCACAAAAAAAAGAACATACAAAAATTACATTCATTCTTTTGAAAAGAATTGTGAGTTACTACAATTTCTTCATTATTGTTTTTCTTTCATTTACAGTTGTGTTTTTATTGTGTATTATTATTAATATTATTAATATTATTGATTTAAAAAGTCAACAAATTGAACATGGTTTTAAGGAATAGGTTAACGTCTGTTACCTGGTTAAGTTATAAAAGTATTCTGACCTTTTTTACAAACACGTGACAGTAATATTTTTCAAAATATTTATCGTCTTGGCGGTTCTAACATTCTTGGCGTCTTCCTTAAAAAACTATAAAAAACAATATAATACGCACCAGTTAAATGTGTTTCCAATTTGTTACTAAACCTTTTTAACAAACTTCAACCCAAGGTATGTCGTATTTTTTTATTATTTTGGTTTTATTTTCATCTATTTTGTAATTTACAGTGTTTTATAAATTGTATTTAATCTCCATGTCATGATGTATCATTCTTTATTATTTCTTAGAATTTTTTAAAAAGACCCCAATGAGGGTAGATACGCCAAGTTAATAAATGATTTGAAAAAATTATATTGTAGTGTCCGTTTTTAAAAATGGTCAAAATAATTTTAGAAATTGAATTAGGTATTTGTGTTACGAGAATCTGTCTTCGATCCGGGAAGTTGTTGCGAATGAACAAAGTTTGTAACGATCAGTTGCTAGTATATCACGCAATGAAGTAAAGAAGGTAGGTTTTTTCATACCATTTTTTCATTTATTTTTCATTTTCACAATATTTTCATTTATTTTTCTTTCGGTAATACATAGTTCTGTATACACTTTATCATATGTATTACTTTACAAAACGATTCTTATTTCCTAATCTTAAAACTATTACTCCAACAAGGGGAGGTAGCTACAAATTGCACCTACTGTTAACAATTATTAAAGATTATATTTAGTAAGGGAACCTCACCGCTTCGATCTGAAGGGTCGCGGTTTCGAGTCGTGACTTGAGTCTGTTTGTTTGTTCCTTGTCTCTCGTACATGTGATGTCCCTAATGCCTCGCGTTCTGCTAACCCCAGATCAAAGAAGCCCGTAAGTGTGTTGGTGTGTATGAAGTGTATGGTCGAATATGGTACCCATCGGGGCGTTAAGAGTAACGGGCTGTTGGCTGTATAAAAGGTCTTATACCTACAACTTATGTTCTAACTGGGGGAATTCTTCGCTAGGTGAGCCCCTATTCACCCATTCAATGCCTAGGTCAGACCGCCCTTCTAACTCAGAGCTACTAGCTTTCCAGGCTACAGAGAGAGAGTTGAATTTTGCGTCACTTAGAATGCGCCGGGGCAAGTCCCACTGCTAGGCCCAGATTATCGGGCGACTGTTGCGACAAAGCCAAGTGCCCAATTGGGGACCACCCGGACTAAGACCCGGAGGTTCGGGATTGCCAAAACCTCCTCACTGCCTCCTGCTTAACAGTCGTAGAAAAAAGTTCTTAGAAAGGCGTCAAATGGGTATCGGTCTGTAATTCGTGTTAGAAAGCCACTTGCTGCTGCGAGCGCAGGTGCGGCGGGGCGTTCGCCGTGCGACAGCGCCCGTGCGGCGCCAAGGGCGAAGGTGGGGAACGCGCACAAAAGAGTCATTAGCGATAAGACAGCGTCGCGGCGCCGCTGCCGTGCGAGGAAACAATGCGCCCCGGGTCGCGCGTCGCACCGTCGCGCGCGTCCGTGCCCCTCGACTTGCTTTTATAGCGCCTTTGCCCCCGCAGGGGGGAGGGGATCGTGTCTGCGTAGGTAGGCATGGTCTCTGATGGGAGTTGTAGACGACCACCCGAACCCTCAGTTTCACGGCGCAACTCATGCCGTTAGCTTGAAGGTGGAGGCATTGAGTAGGCAATGTAGCTCCTGGTGGTCAATTCAACCGTGCAACCCACCAGTTGGGCCACTGGCGTGCTGACCGTTGGGCAGGATTGGGTGAAGGAGGGTCTTAGGAACGCTCTGGAATCCACAAATAAAAGTCCGGTGGGAAATTATCCGTCGTCAATTTGCCTAGGTTCTCGGCGCTACTCACGTCGTTAGCCTAACGGTGAAGGCAGTGAGGAGACGGGATGGCGGCTCCGAGCCGCCCGGATCTTAGTTCGGGTGACCCCAATTGGGCTCTAGGTTACGTCGTGGCAGTGCCCCAACACACAGGGCATAGCGAGGAACTCGGTGTTTTGGCGCAAGTGAGTGGCGCGTCGTCATACGATGATAGTGACAGCGGTAATAGCCTGAAAAGCTAGGCGCTCTGAGCCCAGGCATTGAATGTGAAGGTTACCGTGACGGGAAACTGGGTTTCGGCTGAACCGGGATATCGACCCGTTATCGTAAATGTGCGGATAAAAGCGAAAAGCTCAGCTGCACCCTCCGGAGACTTGTGCCTCTCCGATAGAAAATGTTTGTTTGTTTGTTTGTTTGTTTTTTTAGTTGTTCTCATACTAGGCGGCCTTTGCACCGCGAGCGTTCTTCAGGGATGGGAACGGTGAACACTCCACTCGCAGAAATTCGACGTTTCGTAAAGTTCCCTTTTTTAGTCCTGCCGATTTAATCTTGAGAGTCAACGTATTACTAAGTGTTTTAATTTAACTTCATACTGTCAAAATTTGTTGAATCGAATTTTTACATTCGTGGCTTAAGATACATATTATTTATAGTGGATACATGAAATAAGTTTTTTTAATTGTATTAGTTTTTTGACCTTAGTAAACAGACACTTAAGTATGTTTAACAGTGTATTTCTTGATTTTACAATTATAATACAAATTTATAATTACAATTATTTAAATAAGATAACAGACGCAAATATATTTCTTAAAACTTGAAATAAGTGTTTCGTAACTGACCAATTTATATTTTGAAACGGCTCTAATTTTCGTAATCGTGAGCAATCATTCATTTCTAATAGGGATTTCGTCCATTCTCGTAAGTGTTCCTCATTCTGCCTTCTCTTTACCACTTAGGTTACGTTCGTACACGGCGATCAATAATACTACATTACATCGTGCTACGAAAAACAATAATTATGATTTTCCAGAAATTTTGAATTTTATTTGCAAAACATATTTTGTATACGAAAAGGTACAACAGAAGTTGTCATAAAAAATGGAAGTGTACAAGTATGAGCGATCTGGAAAGATCCCAAGTAAGTTGGTCGCTCTTTGAACGAAAAATAGTGAGTTGTTTCACTTTTATGGGCTCTCTCCTAGGAAATAGCTAATAAAAATGTTGTCATTTAAGTAGTTTAAGAGAAAGGTCTATGAAATACTGACCACTTATTTTAAACAGTCAATTCTTGTTTACGTATTGCCTTATTCCTCAAGTTCGTCCTTAGACTTACGAAACTTTGAGGATGAAAATACTTTTAACTTCCATATCAGTATATACTTTTGTGTTTTCGGATAATATCGTACAAGTACCTCCCAAGCAAATATTGGCTACGTGTTCACATAGAATATCTACAATTTATGAGTTCTAACTTGGGTGTATGAAACGTTTAATGTATATGTAATTTCGATGACAGTTCGCGATTAAGAAGATTCTTGGAACACCACTCACACTTTTCCCTGACAAAAGAGATATAACAGAATTTTATAAAATACTCAAAATATTCATATTAAGACAATTCTTCATTATTATTTGATATTCGAGGTGTGGACAATAATAATATCTAGAAAAATATAATGGCTTAGGAGTAAACACTTCAAAATATGAGTACGAGTATTTTAGTGAAATTATTATTTTCCTTCTGTACTTACACTGAACGATTTAATAATAATCCATAGAAGAATGGATTTATGACACATTCTAAGAAGGAAATTTGCGAAGTCGAAATAATAAAAAAAGTTCCCCATATTCGTGAGTAGATTCTCTGTAATTAAATAACACAAGAGTTTTCTTTTTTGCTTTTAAGCATAAAGTGAAGTAAAGGAAGTACCATTAGAAAATGGTGTTTGTTGTTATCTGTACTGAAGTACCAATCCATAAGATAAATATTTAAGATAGATTCTTACATTAAAATATTGTAGGCCATAGAGTTTGTTTGTCATCAAGGACTCTAGTGATGAAAGAACAGCAGAATTTTGAATTGTCCAGACCTCACCAATTTCTGTAGATTTGTACACAAAATACAAGATAATTTCATCTCACATTGTTTTTCTTTGTTAACAGGTACGGTCGCAAAACCATATTTTACATTTCTGCGGTGCTTCAGTTCTTTCTTGGAATCGGTGTTGCGTTTACTCCAGAATATTATGGCTTCCTTGTCGTACGATACCTGTACGGCATCTTCGGTTCAGCCGGTTCCTACATTACAGGGTTTGTATTATGTAAGTATCCGTAGTAAAATTTCTTTCGTTTTTGTCTTGGCATGCCGGAAGAATCCCATGAGTATGGTTCAGATTAATATCAGATGACATGTACAAGCAATAATATGTACACGCATAAGGTCTAAAACTGTTCCAAATATGAAGTAAAGCATGGAATAAAATTGAATCAAAATATAAACAACAGTGAAAATAAAGCATTAATTAAGTTTTATGTTACATAAGTAGAATGGTCAAAGAACTTACGTTTTAGAATTAGCCATAGAACCACCCTGTAGACTTACCATTTATGAATGGGTCTTGTGTCATGTGCCCTCACTTGTCCAACGATACCCGTGAAGAAAGACTCACATATCACGTGTATGTTTCTAATTGCCAAAAATAAATTACCAAATTTGTTTCAGCAATGGAGATAGTGGGCCCGACCAAAAGAACTGTATGTGGCATAACATTCCAAGCATTATTCGCCGTTGGCGTGATGTTGGTGGCGTTTTGGGGCTTCGTGATAAAAGATAGCACAATCCTGCAAGTAACGTACGGTCTGCATGGCCTGCTTCTCTTGGGGCATTGGTGGTGAGTACCATTAGAGATTCGATCGAAGAATGAAAGGTGTGAGTGCAAATTGTATCCATGTAAGTGGCGATAGTGGCACGAATTCAAAACATTTGTCACGTCGTAATTATGCATTTATCGTATGAAATATTAACTCACAACGCGGCCATAAATTCACACAAAGAAAAAGCTGTCCCAAATTATCATCCGTTTAATGATACGTAATATGCATAATAATACATGAAACGTAATATGCATAATAATTATTAGTAGTATTGTGCATAAATATAATAAAATCGAGCCCCGCCAACAGGACAAACTAGTTTAGCGTTCCTGGAGTATGCATAGATGCAATGCGGATTGTGTTAAAGAATCAATTTTACAAAAACCAAGTCTTAGTGGTTGCAAAGCATCTTTATAGGAACCTATATTCCCAATTCCATGTTCCTAGATTTCGTATATTTGCCTCAGGGATGAGTCGTCAACCGACACAGGAGGCCCAGGGAACAACTGGTGTCACAGCAGTGTGTCTGACCGGGAGGTATGAGGTTTCGTCTCGACAGTAGTGGGATTTGCGACACGTGCTAGAGGGGAGTGCTGGAGGAGAATTCAAGCGGCCGGCTGCTCTCGCGGATAGTTTTTCGTGTTTTTTCCGATCAACACCAGGTGAATGCCGAAGCAGTACCCTAACAAACAGGCCATAAACTGCACATGATATTTCCTTCCTCTTCCTTGTTTTATCCTCACCACTTACGTATACTCACACGCGCAGCACTACCATACTTGTCGGGAGACCAGTCAGGGGCTTAGTGCGTGTCTCGGCTCGGGCAGTGCCCCGCTGGTGGGAGAGATATGGATGAGGGAAAAACCCTAGAAGCCGATGTAGGGCAGCATCGGATCTCGCAGGAGAAGATCACCGCCGTCTCCCGCGATAAAACAAGGTCAGTTATGGGACTAATGACCTTAGCAGTTGACATGCTTGGAATCATTAATCAGTCAATCAATTTACAATCAAAATTACGCACGTGTGTTCATTGTGTGATGTTCTACCATGTGTTCACTGGCAAAAACTCACCATCTTCGTTCCTTCTACGTTCCCTAGAAGTTTGAAACATTTATTCTGAACCACTCTGAAAAGTGCAAAACAAAAAAAAAACAGTCAACGGAATAATGATTCGAGTAAGTTTCGAATCGTTACCTAGGAATAACATCAATCATCCCAGAGTTGATCAAGAGCGAGCATGAATTACTGCGAATACATCGTTATGTATACACCTTGGAATCAGATTTTTGTGCAATTGCATTAATCTTCCGCTTAGTCGTATAAGTCAAGAGATCTGTTTCTATTTGATTCGGAGTCCTTAGATGTTTCTTTTCAAGTTACATTTGCATATTTAAGGTATATTGCATAAATTGCGTATCTTAGAGTTGTGCTAGATTCTGTTTCATATTTAGCAAGTTTCCTTCTTTTTGACAATCAGCGATAACATTTTCAAAACAAGTTTTTATTGGTCATCAATGTTAATGCGTAGGCACTAGTTTAAATCGAACCCATGGGCCATGGACACAGTCGATATCTCGAAATCGATTCTCGCATCCAACCAATAGTAAACCATAATGTATCACAGCCATTAGAAACGCTTATTTTGCTTACGTTTATGTTAGACATTGTGAATACTCAGTCTATCACTTACATTTATGCATTATGTTTCTGTTTGCATTGCGAATGGGCCTTTAGGGGGTGGTTGCTCCGCTGCGCAGGCTGATCGACGAGTCGCCGCGCTGGCTGTGGGCGCAGGGGCGCGTGAAGGAGGCCGTGGACATCGTGGAGAAGGCGATGAGCGTCAACGGCCAGGCCGGCAAGATCGACATCGCGCACTTCGTCTCGCGGGGCAAGGCGGCCTCGTCGTCGCGGGACGAGCGCAGCTACGGCGTCCTCGACATGTTCAAGACGCCCCGCCTGCGCGCGCGCACGCTCAACGTCTGCCTCAACTGGTAACGCGCTTTCACTCTCTCTCCCTCTTTCTCTCTCTCTCCCTCTTTCTCTCTCTCTCCCTCTTTCTTTCTCTCTCTCTCCCTCTTTCTTTCTCTCTCTCTCTCCCTCTTTCTTTCTCTCTCTCTCCCTCTTTCTTTCTCTCTCTCCCTCTTTCTCTCTCTCTCTCCCTCTTTCTCTCTCCCTCACTCTCTTTCTCTCTCTCACACTCTCTTTCTCTCTCTCACACTCTCTTTCTCTCTCTCCCACTCTCTTTCTCTCTCTCCCACTCTCTTTCTCTCTCTCCCACTCTCTTTCTCTCTCTCTCACTCTCTTTCTCTCTCTCACACACTCTCTTTCTCTCTCTCACACACTCTCTTTCTCTCTCTCTCACTCTCTTCCTATATTTCTCTTTTTCCCTTTTTCACTCTTTTTCTCTCTGTGAGTAAATGTTTTACTCTTTGGGAGTAAAATGGTAATTCGCTATCGCAGATCGTAGCAACCCCTCGAGGGCTACAATTTTTCACCTTCAGTAAAATCTATTTTACTCCCGGGCATTATTAAAACACTGTTTTCATTCTTGTTAGAGACGCAATAAATAATGTAAATATGTTTCAGGTTTGCCAACAGTTTGGTGTATTATGGGTTGTCTCTAAACACCGGCAAACTTGCCGGAAACCCATATTTAATCCTCTTCGTCATAGGGCTTGTGGAAATTCCTAGCTACATCATGACCATTCTTCTTATGGACCGAACAGGTCGGAGGTGCTTGATTAGCACGTTGATGTTGCTGGGAGGTATAGCGTGCATCGTGTCTGCCTACATTCCACAAGGTGAGTTTGCCTTGAACGTCTCAGGTGTAACGTCAAGTATGTTTTTGTGTATTAATTCTATACTGGTAAGCAGCTTAGCCGATTACGGCTATTTATCTTATCAGATTCCCATTTTAACATTTTGGCATATTTTCTAACTGTATGCCTACGGCATTATATTGACTTTGACAGAACTGTTTATTCTATCAGATATAATAATGTGCCATTTCAATTTATTCCACGCACGTAAGTAAACATCATCGCATAACATTAAATATGTGTGATATGCAAGTTCATAATAAACCTACTGGTGCAAAAACAGCATGTACTTTCTCGCCTGCACTTTCAAGGAAAATTACGCAAAACGTACTCAAATTTTCGGAAAATTCTACATGAAATCCTTTTCAATATCTATCTTTAAGGAACAGGTTTCCTCTAGGAAAAAATCTCTATAATTCTCATAAATCTTCATAATTGTAGTTTTACGAAGACGCAGAAAAATAATTGAATTTTTGCAAATTTTTGAAAAATCAAAGACCTGCACCATTCTCTGAAACGTCCTTCACAGTACGTCCGTCACAATTTCATGTTTCTACATTCTACCACCGAGTAACATACGCCTAATTGTAGAATAAGGTTTCTATCTATCTATCCAACAACAAAATTTAATCAAAACTAATGAAGCCATTTCTTTGAAAATTTTGAAAATGTTCCAGGGGCGTCATGTAAAGTATCCCCAAAATTAAAATATCGGTTTCAAATTAAAAAAGGCGTGACATCAGATAGATCGATTGGGATATATCAATTTTGGAAAAAAATCGGTTGAACGGTTGGGCCGCTAGCGATGTTAACAAGCGGACGGACGGACTGTCGTTTTGCTGTCATTCAATTTTCCAGTGTCAAGAACCAATAAAACAAGGATTCTACAACGCGTGTTAAGAGTATTTTGTTTTTCTAAATTTAGCAACAAGATTTATTCACTTTTTCGTTATCAGAACTCTGTAATACGAGTTTTCTACCAAAAATTCGCCGTTTTTTTCGCGCAGAATCACCTAACTTTCTCTCTAATGTGGTAGTAAGTGAGGTAAGCGGTAGCAAGAAAGTAAAATGGCCCGATCCTCTCCGCTGGTTCAATTCTCGTCAAAACACACTTCACTCCCCGAATGGTGAATCAGAAGAGAGACGAACTCACAAACTCAAGTAGTTTATTTAGAGATGCAGCCATGATTGTTTTTTTTAATTCCCTTACAAGTATACAGTGCTGGTGAAAATTTTACTAATTTTTCAATTCTAAATTTCTTGGAAGTAACTCATAATTGATTGTATTAGTGCCCCAGGAAAGTCCCTCCGCACTAGAACCAGTGGTTGGCGAGAGTGCTATCAATAGAGATTACGTTGGTAGCACGATTTGCAGCTTGTAAAAAAGGATAGCGTAAACTGCGTACTCCCCACAATCATAACAGATGCTGGAAGTGTTGTTTCGTTTACTTGTATCCCAGTGATCTGGTTGCTACGGACATAAATGAAATTGTAAGTAAGAGTCCGTGATTCGCCACAGTGCAGAGAGATTTTCCTGTCACACGTTCAGCGTGTCGCAAGGAGCATTAAATGAATAATCATACTTTTAAATAAAATAAATTTTATAATAAAGTTGAAGAATGTTGAAAAATATGTAAAATAAAAACATCATATTAAAAGTTCGGAAATAGTTTTTTTTTTCTTTGTTTGAATGTAAATTCTCGAAATCAGATATTCCAATTTATTTGCATTAGCTTTGTGTAATCGTCCAATTTTCTCCACAGATACGACTTTTGGCAGTATATGTGCAACCACCATCGTAATGGTTGGAAAATTCTTCATCGCTGGCTCTTTCGCCATCATTTACAATTATACAGCTGAATTATTTCCCACTGTGATTCGCAACACTGCTCTGGGCGTTGGAAGCATGTGTGCCCGTCTAAGTGGAGCCATGACACCTCTCATCACCCTTCTGGTAAGCCAATCATGCAAATTAAGTTGTTGTTTTTTTTTTTAACTAGTGGGCCCGGCAATGATTCGCTATTGCAATGTTTTGCACTTCACATGCTACTGGCCTCGTGATTATTAATCACGTTTTACGCTTCTCTCTGCAAAAAATTCAATATGAGAAAGACACTTTCTCCACGAGGTGGTTCCGTCTCTCTCTCTCTCCTCTCCTCTCTCTCCCTCTCTTAGCTCCATCCTCTCCTCTCTCGTCTGCTCTCTCTCTCTCTTCCGTCTCTCCCTTTCTTTGTCTCTCTCTGTTTGTTTCCCTCTGCGACTTTGTCTTTCTCTGTCTCTCCCGGGAGAAATTTCACATTCGCAGGGGCAGAATACGCAATGAAGACGTCTTAATAATCGTACGTCAGTGTGTGGCGGGTTGCGTAGAGAGCGTCGTGACGTAAAGCGCCCTGATCAGAGCTACGTAAAAGCATCAACGCGCGTCTATGTGCGCATGCTTATGCATATACTATGGCTACATTCTTCCCGAAAGTGGAAGCAATAAGCTGACAGAGTATTATAGTAATCAGATGAACGGGCAGGCAGCGCATTAAGCAAGAACCAAAACCATTGTTTTTATACATTATATTATTTATTTGTCTACCCGAATTAAGCTGTCTCGCAAAGCCTTTTGGGAAGGTAATTGACAAACAGACAGCCCTTAGTTACTTGCACTGGCGTATTATGCTTCAACATTTTCTTGGTCCCTTATTTCCCTAAATACGAGTAGATTGGGAGGTTTGATTATTTCATCGTCAGTACTATTATATAAAAATGGTAGCGCGTTGTTCGAAGCAAAATAGTTTCTGTAACACGGAAGCAGGCATTTCATATTTTGCCAACAACGTTCCTTGCTATCATTTATTCCGAATTCAACTAATGTTAGTAAAGGAGTGAGGGTGGTAATTCCGGAGCTTAAAAAACGTGCGCGTTTAATACTTTGTACTTGATATAAAATCTTATTTTGCTTAAAATCGTATTTCCTTAGGACTGGGAAAACAAACCCGCGCGTTCTGCAAACAGAATTTTGTTTCTCGCCCCCCTGTAAACTTTGATGACGATTGATATGCAATTGAAAATATCTTAAGCCAATAAAATCGAATATACCTACACAACATTTGTTTATTAATTTAATAATGTCTTTAGTAAGCAAATGATTATTGGCGCATGCATAATTCAGCTCGTTTCTGGACATGTAATTTCTTATCTAATATCTTTAAAGACATATTCGTAAAAATATCAGTTGTACTTAGGAGAAATGGAAAGTATGTTAACTGAAATACTTATTTTATTGAAATGTGCAACAATTTATTGTGCATTGAATGTTTTACTTTATAAAAAAATCAAAGTAATTATTGTGATTATTTTAAATAATGAAATGGTTTCATCATAATCAATAACAATATCAGAGAAGATACTCTTTTTTTCATTATATATATGTATATATATATGTATATATATATATGTGTATATATGTGTATATATGTATATATATATGTATATATATGTATATATATGTATATATATGTATATATATGTATATATGTATGTATATATATTCAAAATAATAGCATAAGACAAATTCATACATTGATTTTATTTTCAAATAATAATGTAATAATTCTTTTTTTTTCAGGATTCATTCGATAAAACTTTACCGTCGGTGATTTTTGCAAGTATTGCAATATTGTCTGGCTTGCTCTCTCTCCTGATGCCAGAAACGCTACACAAGCCTATGCCACAAACCATTCAAGACGGCGAAGAATTTGGCAGAGGAGACACAGCATGTGCTTCTTGTTGTGGTGCAAGGCATAGAACGTATGATGTTCCGTTGTCGTCACGTGAATAAGTGATTTAATCGTTGATTTGCGTCCATTCGATTTTCCAAGGCATTTATGAACGCTAAAAGAAAAAGCGTTATGCCCTCTGGTGATGGTGCATCTGCTCTGAAACATGACATGTAAATGCCCTTTTAGAATAGGTATTTATTTTAAAAGTTGGCGTGTTAGTAGAATTGTATGAATATTTATTATTTCTTTTAACCCTATTCTTTTTTTAAATGTATTAGGTTATTAATTTTCTGCAAACAGAAGCATTCGATAAATTTCTTGCCAATATGAAAAAGAAAGTTAGAACTTTGAAATTTATCCTAGGTAATATCATGAGTGATTTGGTAATTGTTGATAAATTTCCAACTCGCGAAGCGCGGAGGGGATTTATCTGAGAATTTCCAAAGCACCAGTGATATTTAATATGACTATTCCACGAGTGAAATCATGTCCAACATAGTTCCAAAATGCGCCAAATACTGAAAATAACTGAAAGTTGTGTTAAAATCACATGCGACACAGTGATCGATGTAGTATATCGCCACCTAAGATATGAGTCACAGTTTATTATTGGCCAGCAGGGAGAAGCGGTAACAAAAATCGGGAAATAGGAAAGGCGATAAACTTTTTGAGATAGACCGCCCTGATTGGGGCATTTTGTATGTATAGTTAAACACTATTGGTTTTAATTTCACTAGTGGAGTAGTAATTGATAACACACTCCCTGTTAAGGTTTAGGGATATATGAACAACTTCGCACCGGTGATGGATGAAGGCTTATCGCATGTTCAGAGGGGTCAGTGCACGTTACAATACAATGACCGCTTGTGGAATAATTTGGATACGTCAGAACGGGAAGTTTCGAATATTTTTAAGAGAAGTCTTTCAAATTCATAGTAAAATTCAGTTTTCATAAAACTTTAAAAATAGGTAAGATAGTCATAAAAGTAATCAAAAATATGTACAATATCGCTCATTTTATCAAATGACTTTTAATATGCTATTGCGGTGGCATAACCACGCTTTCTTTTCAACACCGATTATAATTTGCCAAGATGCGTAATGTATTTGGAATCACGAGAAATGTTTGCAACACGTTAAGTTTCAATTACAAAAAATGAAGGTTCTAAATACTATTTCTTCTGATTTTCAATATCAATAAGTGCCAGAAGTGGGATGATATCCTTTCATTTCACTTCACATTCTGTTCTTCATAATAGTTTTGGTATTTGTGCACGAAAAGACTAAAAAGTCAAAATCTTAAAGGATTTTTTCTTCTAATACGTGTAAGAGGATATTTCCTTAATGAAATCCACATCAAAATACGTACAATGAAAATAGAGGCTAAACGGAAATGTTCGTTGTTTACATTCCTTTAAAATAATATTGTAGATGAATCAAGAAAGACGTCCATCCATTACAACATATCATTAGGAATTTGCATTGTATCAAAATTTTCATTACCGTGCGTATATGACGGTGAATCAAACGAGCTTTTACAGTTCCTCTGCAGTCTGATAGAGATCAACATCACGGTGAAGATTCATGATACCAATCGTGGAGGCTTAAGACGACTCTAAGACGTGATCTAATAAATTCTAAAGAAAAAACCTTAACATGAATTCGTGTTATGAATAAGAGCTGTTCCACTTGGCCTTCGCGATGTTCGTCATGGTGGCACAATGTGACAGACATATTTGCTAGTCACTCCGAAATTAAAAACGGTATCTGACGTAGACTTAAAAATTAATGGATATTCAGAATAAATGAAAATTATAAATGATCAGTTTTTATCTCTTCTAAAAAAATGTTACTATTCTAGTATCGATTAGGGTGTACTCAGAAATTCGCAATCAATATTCAATGCATTTCTAGGATCCCAACGATCACAAAATATATTATGCTTTTATAGAAAAGGCGAAGGAAAGGAATGGGTTGCAAAGTCGTAATGGTGAGTCTTATTTTCCGGTCACCAAATCCATAATTCGTTCGAAACGAAATACTATTAATGCAACTTCTGTGTTTGAGTGACGCGCCATAAATTTATCAGTTCAGAAATAAGGCCAAGTATATTTCAAATCTCTTTTTATAGTAAAATATACCTCCGGTTCAGTTAATCTCCATTTTCTTCTCTCTTGTTATGAAAAAGGCTTTTTCGTGGTACCGAACAAGTTATTTTAATCACAGGATTTGTTAATGTCGTCAATATCATGGTCCACATTTGAAGATAAGAGGATGAATAACTAGAAAAGTATGGCATAGAATAACATAACTGAATTTATGATCTATTAATATCTAATATTTTCCCAAGTCTCTATGAAATACACTGCACGTTTGGACCTAGTAAATAAATGAATTGGCAGGTATGATGAATCATTTGTACGACCCTCATGGGCCACTGCTCAAAGATCAAACACATATTTTGATAGGTTAGTAATTTGAAATCGAAACGCCAATATTAGTGCCAAACTATCTCGTGATTCTCTCTATCACGTCCACATACGATAAATTACCGATGAAATAATTTTTAGTGAACTTTTTTCATAGCAAACACTTCTTTTGTTCTTTCCCCAATGCTCAATTTGAAAGTGTGGTGTCTTGGGTAAGTTACTGAGCTTCAGAAATTAATATAAGAATAAATGATTAATCAATACAAATTAGAAAAATGCTTATAAAAAAGAATTAAGTTTCACATTTTGACAAAAATTCGGAGAGACCAACTGAAAATATCTTGCTTCGAAACGACTGCAAGTTTGATTTCAACAACAACAACAACAACAAAAAGGTAGATTTTGATTTTTCATTCAGTTGTAGAGTTAATGCACCTTGAAAAACTTGCCAGGTTATAATTTGGGATATATATTGTTACTTAGAATGGGTATTATTGTGCTATCATCATTTCATGGGAAATGCACTGGTCCACAGAGAATGTACTTCCAAAAACCTCAAATTCACTTCACGCTTTGCACCAAATTGCTGGGAGCAACTGCAATAAGCTTAGAAGCTCAAATTATTGTACATCCAAAGTATTCTCAAAATAACATTATTTAATTTTTGTAAATAAAAATATTATTTATCTAATAATAACATTTTAAGAAAGTTGTACTATATTGGGGTCGGTTTGAAAGTCCTTGGTGCAAAAGGAAACTAGAATGATTTGAGATGATGCGATATCAGACAAGTAAATTATTTTTCGTGTACATAAGACTAACAATATTCATATCGGAAATTCAGTCCAACATACAGAGGCTCAATTTAATTCTACATAAAATTAAATCACATTAATATTTTGAATTTTGATACCAACATGTACCGTGCTCGAAATCTTTATGGCTGCTGTGATACGCAAGCATATCAAAGATTTTTTTATTGAAAAAGGTCTATATACATTATGTAATGCTCTTTTTGAATAACAACAGGTTGTGTAACAATCAGTATAGTTATCTGTAATGTTATTGTAATTTATAATGTGCTGTTGCTTTTATGGTTGTAAACCTACTATATTTTTGAATGCTGACTCTATGAAATAAATATTTTTTATGAAGTAACTGAAGTTTAATTTATCCATCAGTTTAGTGCTGCCTAAACACATGGACAAAGGGAGATATCGGATAATATTAATATTAATTATATTGTTAAGTTTTCTTAATTTTAAGGACTCCGTATCTTACTTCTTCGCTTACTACACGCATAGAATATAGAAGGTTATGTAATACTGCAGCGAAAAGCGGCAGAAAAATTGGATAACACTTGTTCTTATATAGTAAAAAACTTCTTCTAATCAGTGGAGTCAGTATCAACGCTTTGCGGGTCCTTGATACCAAAAAATTGATAAATGCCAAAACGCCCGTTCGTCTGCGTGTTTGATTATGAACAATGTTAGCGCCTACACCATAAGAAGGATTTTCACCGAAATTCAAATTCCCCAATTGATGTGATATTGCAGCCGCGAGATTTTGAATTAGGTATTTTAATTTTTGGGGGGACTTTACATGAAACCTCAAGAACATTTTGATTATTTTTCTCAAAAGTGGCTCCAAATTTATTGATTTGTCCTACGAGAATGTTAAGGATCCTTAAAAATAGTGCAGATCTCCGTTTCGTTAAAATATATGAATTTTCAAAAATTGTGAAAGTTTAAAATTGTTTCGTCGTCTTCCTACAACTACAGTAATTTAAACATTTTCCCCTGAATAAAATATTTTTTTAAATAAGAACATACATGTATTTCAATATATAAATAGTTTTCAACTAAATTTGGCGTGAAAGATTCTTCTTTAAACATTTTTTTCTTTGAGATTTCTTTAAACATTTTTTTCTTTGAACTTTTTGTACAGAAAGTGCTACATGCACCGAATAACATCACATAAACATTTTTGGCGTTCTTTACATTTTTTGTATCATTGTAACATTTGTGTATCATTTTGTATTATTGTCGTTAATATTTACATTAGGGGCATTTTTTATACTTATTGAATTATTTGTGGGGGCAAGTGCTCTAAATGATTCTGATGAAGTTTCTTCTGATGATTGAAATGATGAAATGATTTTGAAATCAGTTTCTCAAAAACTTTAAGTTTTGCGTTCGATTAAGTGACAATGAGCCTAAATTTGTGTATTTTTTCAGAAATACATAAACGACATTTTCTCAAAAACTGTTCCACGTGTTTTCTTTACATGTTTTACGGGTAGTATTAATACACTGAATTACATGATATACGCGCCATTTGATTAATTTAGTCAAAAAAAGAACAGGAAAAACTGTACATGACGTATGAGGGAGATCATCTGCGCACGTTTTCTTGAGTTCCAGAATCACTCCAAACATGATAACAACAAATAGTTGAAAGATAAAGAAAGGTTTAAAAATAAAATAAGTATTATTTTTTAAGCACGAGGTGAGCAAAATTTGATAACCTAGACATTTTCATTCTCCATTTGTAGAAAGCTTATTGGCATCTGTAAACGAACTGCAAATTTGATTTTTTCTTTCGTTGCTAACAAAATTGTAGCTGACCAACTCAACTCCTACCACTACAAGCAAAATGAGAGCTCGACAAAACGTGCGCATACTGAAGCTACATTTATGTCCAGAAGTAAAACAAGGGGCTACCTAAGCATTTACTCAATGGAGCAGGGAAACTGGACAAAACCTGGTTGAGGTGGGGGTCGTTGATCAGGAAGCTGAAGTACACTTTGATGTATTCTTTTGATTCTTCAAAAACTACACAAATGTATTTTTTTAATTTCTCTCGCGTTAAAAAATCATTAAGATCACTTTCTTTTCATTATTGCATATCTAAATACAAGTTCTTTAAATAATTTTTGATGAAGTTTCTTGAAAACTTTTTTGCAAAAGTGACCCTAAAATTGCGCTTTTTTTAGAAATGCACAAACATTTTCTCAAAAAGGCTTGAAATTTTTCAATAAAAATTTGCATATATGACTGTTTTATTCTAATGTAATATTATTTCCTTCAAAATATATTTCAATTATGCTATTAGGGGAACTAAAAATTGAGAAAATGCCAATAGATGCCAAAATGCCAAAAAATATATTTTAAGCATCAATAGCTGGCACTCTATCTACCAATAGATCTCTACCGCTGAGTAGAGAACAGGGCAATACAGAAAAAACTAGCCTAGACTATAAAAATTACAATAT